TTTGGGATCCTTTGCGCAAGGGTCACAGGTGGCTGCATCCCCAACACCTAGCACGGCTCTGTGAACATCCGTGGAGTAAGTGGATGCAGGCCCCCCATGCACCCCCAGGGAGCAGACCCCTCAGGCCATCCGCCCACACCTGGACAGTGACAGGTGTGTGTGTCCCCTAGGTAGATCAGCCCCACATAGACAGGCTGGTGGGTCATCAGAGACCAAGCCGTCGCTCAGGTCCCAGCCAAGACCATAGGGGCTGGCAAGGGGACCAAGAGGCCTGAGGGCCCCAGACTCGGGAGGGGAGGAGGGAAGGGCCGGGACACGAGACTCCTGCCTGACTCCTTCCTGATGTCTTGGGGCCCCCGTGTCCTCGTCTGTGAAACAGAGGCCCTGAGTCTCTTGCCCCAGCCCTGCCATGAGACCAGGGCACGATTCACAGGAGATCACAAAAGGGATTTCTGGACCGACACGTGGGCAGGGCCCAGGTGGCACCGGGATGCCCTAGTCCCTTTCCCTCAGCCCACGGCCCCAGCTGGGAAGGCTTCACACTGCTCAGCTCTTGCCTTCTCTGTGCCCTCCTCCCAGCCAGCAGTGACCAGGACTCGGGGCACGGGGATAAGGCAGGGCCCCAGGATGGATGTAGGGGAACTGGATTCCACTCTGCTGTCAGGCCAGGGGGCCACGGGCGCTGGGGAAGGGCACAGAAGGCCCAAGGCTGGGTCTTTTGGCTCTTAGAGCAGAGAGGTGCTGGCCTGTCACTGGGACTCCAAGGGCAGTGGGATGGGGAGGCAGTGGGATGGGGGGGCAGTGGGATGGGGGGGCAGTGGGGCAGTGTGGAGGCGGAGACCCCCAAGTTCCTGCGTCAGGCTGTTCAAGTCATTCTGTGGGGCGCCGCCTCTGTCCGGTTCCTCAGCCTGCACCCAGGGCCTCCCCAACTCCTTGGAGACTGTGGTGGCTGCGACCCGGAGATGCTGCCCTGCCAGCCCCCCGCAACCTCGCCCAGGCCGGGCATGGACAATTAAAGCGCCCTGGTCCCCGATTGGTTTGTGGTATTAAAAACAAATTGCGATGCGCCGGGTTGTCATTTCTACCTGATAAAACATCACTTTTATTGATCCTGCTCACCCACCGCCATCATTCATCTTGCTCAGCGTCTCACATAATGCGCGTTTGTCTTGATCAAAGTGTAGCCGTGCACGGTTAACCCTCAGGGCGCCGCTGCCGCGCCCGCCCCCCGCTGACTCCTTCCCGGGCACCCCACCCCCACCCCCACGGCCCAGGCCCTGTTCTGGGGCAGGAGGGTCTGGAAGGCAGGGACCACCCTGAGATAACGTGGGCAGATGCGAGGGGATATTGGGAGCAGGGGCCCGACCAGGCTCATGTCTTGCCTCCCGACCCTGCTGGGGGCTCACCAGGGCCTGTTGCTGCCCCTGCTCAGCTGGGCACCGGTGGCTACCTGCCTCCTGGGCTCACCCCCCGCCCACATTCCTGGGCCCACCAGTGGCACCCCCTTCAGCCAGGGCCCTCTTCTCGTGCCAGTTTCCAGCCCTCAGCCCCACCTGGGCCCTGCCCCGGCCTGTGCACCCCGCCTCCAGGCCCTGGAGCTATCTCTTGGTGTCAGCCTGTCTCCTCTGACCCCGGGGGACAGAGGGAGTCCCCAGTTTGGCCGCGGACCCTCTGCTCAGAGCCCTCGGGAGCACCCGCCGTCCAGCAGCAGGTACAGTCCTGCTCTCGGGGTCCCGGTGATCTGCCTGAGCCCCCACCTCCTGCCCCCCGGCTGTTCCTCCACCACCCAGCCCCGGGGCCCTCCTGGTGCGCCCTGCTCTGTGGAGAAGCCAGTCCTGGCTGGGGCTTCCTTCCTGCCCTGGCCTGGCCTGGACTCTGTCCTCGCCAGAAACTGCAGTCAGGGTCTCCTGAGCCCACAGCGGGTCTCTGGCTGCACCCCAGTCCTTCCTCCCTCCCCCACAGAGGGTCCCTCAGCCAGCAACCCCGTCCTGCAGGCTCCTTCACTCAGCGCTCGCTGGGCGCCCAAGGCTTCCGTCGGGCCACCCTCGCCTCCTGGCGCAGCCCTTGGCATGCGGCCTGTGGGCAGGCAGGCTGGAAACCCCCCTCCACGCTCACCTGCACGAGAGGGGCTGCGGACCAGGGGCTGCGGACCAGGGGCTGCAGGATCCAAGGGCAAGGTGTTCTGGCCTCGGGCGCAGCTGACAAGCCAGGCGCAGACCAGGCCCCGTGGGGCGGGCGTGCCCTTCCGCAGCTTCCCCAGAGTCAGGGGGTGGGGAACAAGGAGCTCCCGTCCTTGGCAAGTGCAGGCTTCCTCTGGGTCTGCAGCCTCATGGGTGGGCCCTCTCTAGCTGGGGGTGCAATGCACCCCCATTCCCAACACACACCCCTGGCCTTGGGCCCGCCTCCGGGCCGTGCATGCTTCCACTGAGCAGTCGGGACTGTTTACCCATCATGCCCGGCCCGGCTGTTGGGCGGGAAAACGTCTGTTGAATGAATCCAGTCACGCCCTCCCTTGGGGTAGGGCGGGGGGTGGTGGCTGCTGTCCAGAAGCATTCATGCCTAGTGGCCATAGCACTCAAGTGGGCTCTGGGGATCACCCTGCCCCTTGTCCCCCTGCTTGTGGAGGTTGACCCCACCCTCTTCCCCTCCAGAGGCCCCTACCCCGGCCACGTGGACTGGCTCAGGCTGGACAGGTGACCAACCCAGCTCTCAGGTGAGATCCACCAGGAAAGGCCTTCTCATCCTAGGGGGGCTTCAAGCCTAAGGCCACCCCAAACCCACTGTGGCTCTATGTCCCCTCCTGGCCCCAGGCCCAATGCGCTGAAGGGCTCCTCTTGGGCTAATGCAGGGGGTGGGTGTGGAGGCCTGGCCTGGAAGCTCCGGTTGTGGGACCCGGACATCTCGGCTGAGACCCCTGGAGCCGGGGGTTCGCCAGGGAGCGACCGTGGGACACGCACCCAGCACTCGCAGTCAGGATTCTGGGCCATGGAAAACCTGTACAGTAGTTCATATATTTATTCTTAAGCAAGTTGTCGATAAAAAATTTAATACTAAAATGCCTTTACATAGAGTTTGCTGTTCATAAAACCTTTGTTTTTGTTTGTTTTGTTTTTAGTGTTTACATTGAAAAAAAAATCCAACCATCCTCTTAGTTTACACATTTACAAGAGTCGTGCTTTTGCCACGTTTAACCACGGACAGAGGGAGGGCCGCGCCACTCGCGCGCACACAGCAAGGAGGGAGGGGAGACGGAAGGACAGAGGAACCGGCAGAGGGGGCAAGGAACAAGGCTGCCGAGAGAGGGCCCTTCCCCTCGCGCCCACGCCTCGGTAGCGGGCGTAAAATGGCCTTAATTCTCACGTCAGCATCTCGGCTGTCCCGACTCGGGCCTGGGGGCCTGGCCGCGCTTTTCTTCCTGTGACATCTTTGTGGTTCCCAAGCCTCGGGCGGGACCTCGGCCGACCATCTTCCCGACACCCACCAGGAACGACATATTGCACTCGTGCCAAGACAAAGGGTAAACTCGGGGTGGGAGCGGGAAAGCTGGGGGGTCCCGTCACAAAGCGGCCCTCCCCCGCCTCAGGCTTCCGGTGGAGCCACCAGGAGGGGCCCCGGGGGCCTGCAGCAGGAGGGAGAGATGGGCCCTGGAGGAGAGTGGGTTCCTGGGCGGCCTGAGAAAGAAGTGGGGGCCGAGAGGGCCCGGGGTTGGGGTGTGGGGCCCCCACGGAGCTCATCCCAGAGCAGCGGCTGCCTTGGGGGGCTTTCCTGCAGCTCCCTGTGGGGCCAGGAGAGCCTTGTCGGACAGACACTGGAGCACGTGGCCCCTGACGCCTTTCTGAGAACGAGGGCTGCGGCTGCAGGTCCGGTCCGGCCGGCCCTGTCTGTCCTTGTTGGCTGAGGGAGGACGGAAGGGGTGCCGAGTTCTCCTGCGTTACTGGGGCCGAGCCCCCGAAGGGAGCTCCCTGCACGGGGGGCCGGGATGTGGGCACAGGCTGGCAGGAGGGACCCTGGCTCTGCCCCCAGGCACTACTGCCAACAGGCCACCTGGTGGCCGCAGAGAAGGCCCAGAAACCTCCTTGGGGCCCAGGCCAGGGTGGGTGGTGAGGGCAGAGTCTGTCTTTTATCTTTTTGTCCCCCAGTCCTGAACCTCTGGCTTGGCCTTGTCACTGTCCCAAGCCCTGAGCAGGCCAGCGAGGTTAGCCAGGGGTTTTTGGGGCACCGGGAAGGTGTTTGGGGGGGAGGTGAGGATGAATCAGGTGGAACTCCCAGGCACCCTGCTGCTCCCAGGAAAGGATGGCGGGGAGGGAGGGTGAGGAGGGGCTCACAGCCCCACCCACTTCCCCGGCGTCAGGGCAGGAGGGAGGTGCAGAGGTGGGTGAGGGGCCAGCCCTCTCCCTGCTCCAGGTGGAGGCCGGACTCCTTCCCCTTGGACTAACTGGCCGTGCAAACGGAAATCAGATATAAATTGGAATATTCAGGAAATGAAATCAAAACGTCACTTTTTCTTATCAATACTTTGAAATACTTGTTCGTCTTTGTTTCATTTTAAACAGAGGTAAGATGCACGTGGCCACCGCCACTCTCGGGCCGGAGCGCGCTGGTCCTGTTTGCGTTTGCGCCCGGAGCCTGGACCCCCTTCTCCAGCTGTGGCCCTCCTCACCCCCCCCAAGACTATTTTCCTAGGAGACACATTGACAGGAAACAAACTCGAGTGTGACTTTCATCTTACGCAGTAGCCCCCCAAGAGATTAGAGGATGCCCTCGAGGGTCCCACCTGACCCTCCCGTGGCCTTTGGCCTCTGCCCCTACCCCGAGCTGCCTCTGTCATCACAGATGCCCCAGTCGGAACTCAGCTAGGCTGAGGAGAACAGTGCATTCCAAAGAAAACCCCCCAACACAGTCCCTGCACGCCCACACACACACGCACACACACACCCTCGTCACTCGGATGGGGAAAAAAATCCTTTTCCACTTTTTTCCATAAAATTTCCCCGCAGAAATACAATATTTACATAGAGAAATAAATAGACAACACACCTGATTTCTGCTTTCCCTGGTGGGAGACAGTCGGAGGTACTAGGGAAGTATGGCTTGGATTCTAATCTCTCGTGAACTGCCGATGCGGAAAACAGAGCGCCCGCGGGTGGGGCGGGCAGGCCGGTGGCACGGTCCCAGCAGGGGCACAGCACGACCCTCTGCAGCGGATGGGACGGGACCGGGCCGGGAGCTCTCTCTTTCCAGGGAAATCACAGGGGAGCGCGGACCCTGCCTGGCAGGCTCGCGCATCTGCTCAGACGCCCCTGGCGCTCGGCCTGACCTCTCAGCGCTGCGGGCCGGCTGCCAGGCGGGCTCAGCACAGGATGGGCACGCCGTCAACCGTCACCAGGCGCCCTGTGGTGGGGTCGTAGGTGCCAGCCAGGTAGTAGAGGTCCTGCCGGTCCGGGCACTTGCGGCTCCGTGCCATCTGCTCGTACTGGTCGCGCCCCACGACCTGGCACTTGTGGGAGATGGTCTGCACGTCGTTCTCGTCCTCGTGGCACGACTGGTACAGAGCGTTCTGCGGGCGGGGCGCAGAGTCGGCGGCTGGGCTCTGCCAGTGTGCCCCCCTGCCTGGGGAAAGGACCCCCGCCCTGGCACCGTCACTGCAGGAGCTGGTGCTGGGGACCCCCGGGCCCGTCAGAACGGGGGAAATACTTGTTCGCCTAAAGACGGGCTCCTCCGAGCTGTCTGAAAATGCGGTTCCTCCTCGGGGAAGCACGGCATGCTGGGAGCGGTCTGCCCGGTGCGGGCATTGGAGGCGGAAGCAGGGGGCCCATGGGGCAGGAGGGGCTGCCACAAATCCCAGGAGTGAGCTGGACCCGCTGGGGCTAAGTGCTGCCGCGGCCACGGCCCCCCATGAGTGACACCATCACCCACGCCGCAGGGAGCCAGGGAGGCTTTTCCAGACGATGCTCCCCTCACCCCGGCTGTGGCCCCGGCCCGCTGGCCCACCGCGCTTGCCCACGCGGCGCCGCGCTCACCTTGCCGTCGCACTGCCGCTTGCCCAGCTTGGTCTCCTCGGGGTGGTAGAACCACTTGACCTTCACCACCATGTTGCTGCCCCACGACTCCCACATGCTCTCGATGCGGCCGATGTAGGGCAGGTTGGGCCGCCCGGCCGACAGGAAGACCGCGCAGTCCCCAACTCGCAGCGTCTCCTTGCCCCGGACGATGGCCTTGTAGAACAGCTTCCTGGCCTTGCCCTTCATGCCTCGCCGCTGCAGGGGAGACACGGGGCCGGGTGATGAGGGGCCCGGCGGCCGTGAGGACAGGCGGTGTCAGGAGAGGGTGTGTCCCGCGAGTGCGTGTGTTTGTGCATCTGTGCGCGCGTAGGCACGGGCGTGTGTCCTACGTCGTGGGTAAGTGTGTGTGCTGGGCATCCGCCATGGCAAGAAAGAAATAGCAATCCACGGCTGGAGGGAGGCCCCACAGCCACGGATCCCGGAGGAGGCGGCCATGCCTGGGCATCCCCAGCACCCGGGTCAGGGCATCCAGACTGACCCTGAAGGAACACCGAGTCTGGCAGCAGGGACCGGGCATGGGGTGCCCACCACAGTTGTTCACACTGGTCCTCGGCAGCCCTCCCAGCTGGCCACGTGGAAAGATGCACACGCGACACCGTGCCACCAAAGGGGCACACGCCCTGGTGCAAAGCCACCGTGTGCTCACGGAGGACGTACTGGATGGTGGGAGGGTGTTTGTTCTCCCTGAGTCTTCCACATCTTTTACTCGCAATGGAATAGGAAATGAAAGGAGAGAGGGACAGGTGGCGGGGCCACGGCAGGGCTGCCTTCCCCAGAACCGGAGCTCCACAAGGGGCCCCCTTGCCTGCGGGGAGACGAGCCCACCTACCTGTGTGGGGTTCCCTGACCACTTCCAGAGCTGCCGGGCAGGCAGGAAGGCTGAGATCTTTGGCCGGTTTTCCACGGAGGGCAGCCGCTGCCTCCGCGAAAGCTCTTTGGCTTTGGAGAAGCTCAGGGCCTCCTTGCGCTTGAGCTTGGATTTGCCTCCGCTGGGGCCGGCGCCCGTGGCCACCGTGGCCCTGGACAGGAAGCAGCGCTGGGCGTGCGTGTGGGGGCCCCCCTTGGCGCGCAGGGCCTCGGGCTGGGCCAGGAGGGCGGGCACAGGGTGGGAGAGGCAGGTCTGCAGCAGCAGGGCAGGGTCCTCGTCGTCCGAGCTGTAGGACGAGTCCTCGTTGTCCGAGGAGCAGAGGCTGGAGGTGGACACGGAGCCCGAGGAGGACGAGGTGGACGAGCCGGACGAGGACGATGACACCGACAGGCGGGTGAGGAAGCGGGAGGGCACGCCGGCCGCCAGCCCCGGCCCGTCCTCGTCCTCGTCCGAGTAGGAGCTGTGGCAGTCGCTGTCGCAGGGCAGCGGGTACTCGGCCTGGCCCGCGAACTTGCGCAGCGCCAGCCCCATGGGCAGCGGGTGGATGGGCGCCCGCCCCTTCCTGTCCTTGCCCGCCAGGGCCGGATGCGCGTAGCTAGGGCTGGGCAGGGCCCGCCCCAGCTTGGGGCCGAAGTCCTTGTCCCCCATGAGCAGCGCCTTGCAGTTCTTGTTCTTGGGGGACGTCACGCCCTCGTGGTCCAGCTTGACCAGGAACTCACTGCCCGCCCGTCGCCGTGCGCCCTTCTCGGCCTCCGCCCGCTCGGCCTTCTTGGCCCGCAGCAGCTTGTGGGCTCCCCCGGGCAGGCCTGGCCCGGCCCCGCCCACGAAGGGCGCGTAGGAGCTGGCCAGGCTGCTGAAGGAGTCGGCGCGGAAGCTGTTGCCGAACACGGGCGCGGCGACGCTGTGCACGGGGAACAGAGCCTCGTGGGCCCGCAGCTTCTTGGCGCTGCCGTTGAGCTGGAAGAGGTTCTGCAACACCCCCGGCCCCTTGCCCGCCGTGGCTTTGGCCACCGCCTTCCGCTTGGTCTGCGCCACCGCAGACCAGCTCAGCAGGGGGCTGCCCCGGCGACCCAGGAAGTGGTCTGAGGCCCCCGTGGGGGATTTGGCACCTGAGGTTAGGAGTTCGGCTTTGCCTGTGTGGGGAGGCCAGGGAGAGTCAGCTCCTGCGGGGCACGCGAAGCTGTCCCCACGCGCCCCTCCCCGTGTGCCGCTGGGCCCCCCGCGCCCCAGGCGGTGCCTCCCCTGACCCGGGTTCTCAGCAGTCCTGCAAATACCAGCTTTGTCTTTGCTCATGGATTTCTTCCCGGGGGTCTTTGAGGTTTCGGAGCTGTCCTGCACTTTGGGGGACAGGCTGGGGGCGGTGGCTTCGCTGGGCGGGGGGGCCTCGCTGGAGGCCTTCTTGGTCCTCCGGCAGCTGCTGGACACGAGCAGAGCCGGGGAGGGCTCTGTGCCTGCGGACACGTGGGCAGAGGGGCTTCAGTGCCACGGCCACGTGGGGATCACCAGCCCTCGCCCCGCTTTTGGCAGCCTGTCTGGACCCGGGGGAGGCCAGGCAGGAGGGGCCCCCTGGCGGTCCTGGGCTGCTCACACTGGATCTTGAAGTCTGGGGGCAGGAGCCTGACGTTGGAGACGGCGATGTGGCCTGTGTCCCCGTCGTCGAACTCCACCACCACGGAGTCCAGGTCCTCCTCCTCCTCGCCACAGTTGCCTGCGGACGGCACCCGAGCACACGGCTGGCCAGGGAGGAGGGGCTGCCGCACCCAGACCTGCTCCCTGGGCACCTTCTGCCACGGCTGCCCAGCAGCCCCAGGACCCCACGGCTTCCTCCGGCCACTTACTGCCTCCCATCCCACCAAGTCATGTCGCCTCCCGCCCACTCACCTGGGGTCCTCGCCTCCCCGCCTTGGGACCCCACGTGCCCAGGTTTCACCCCAGGGGAGCTGGTGCCCCTGGGATGGATTCCGAGACCCCAGCCCTGGGGGTCTGGGGCCCTGCCCTGCCTATCCTTCTCTGCTTGGCCCCACAGGCAGAGCCCCGACTCTCCCCATCCCATGTGCCCCTCGCTTTCTGGTGGCAAACGGGGAGCTGAGTGCGCTGTCTTGCCCGCTCCAGCCTCCTGGGCAGAGAGGGGTGGGAGGGGCCGGCCTGGGAAGCTGGACTGTGGGGACAGGGCCGCCCAGGCACTCTGCGGGTCTCAGAGGGGCCTGAACCCTGGCCTTGGGTGCAGCGTACCTCGGACCACATTGCCTGGGTACAGACAGCGAGACTTCTGGCTCCAGTATGCACAGACCCGGGTGCCAGGCGGGAGGTACCGGCTAGACTGCGGCTGCACATCGAGAACCTGCAGGGACCCGCGGGTGGTGCCCATGAGCAGGTGGGGCCTGTTCTGTGGTGTCCAGAGCCTGCCTCCCGCCCTGCCCCCAGGCAGCTGGGACCCTCACCGCTTCCTGCAGCAGCTGCTCCAGCGAGTAGACCCTCTGCCGGTTGCCCCTCTCACCCTCGATGACGATGCTGTAGCTGGGGGCACGAGGGTGGGGTGAGGGGCCTGTGGGTCTCAGCCTGCCATGCCCCGCCCCGCCCCCACCCGCCCGCTCGCCCAGCTCACATGTCGGGGGCCTGCAGGGTCCTGACGCTGCCCGCGTACAGCAGGCTGTCCTCCTTCGCGATGAGCACGGGCAGCCCGTCCTGCAGGTCCTCCTTGTGGATGGTGCAGGAGCGCGCTGCGGGCAGCGGGCGTCAGCGGCCGGCCCGGCCCATCCTCCACCCCCAACCCGGCGCTCGCGCCCTCGGGGCTCTGCTCACCCAGGGCCACGCTCTGTTCCAGGCTCAGGGGGCCACTGGCCTCCTCCTCCTCTTCCTCCTCCTCCTCCTCCTCCTCGGAGAAGCTGCTGTTGTCATCAAAGTCGAAGTCATCCTCCACCGTGAAGCTCTCCAGCAGGCGGCTCACGGCCCGGCCCTTGCCCTGGGGGCCAGAGGGGTCAGGAGGGGCTGGGGCAGGGCTGGGCCCGCGGCCCTGGGGCGAGGGATGCTACCTGCTTGCGGACCCTCTTGCTCTTCACCTTGCCCAGCTTCCGGCCCTTGCCCAGGATGGCCTTGGCGTTGCGGGCGGCCAGGGCGATGGACAAGGCCCCGTTCTTCCGCTGTGCACGGGGAGGGCAGAGAAGGGCTGCGGTGAGGGTGGCTGTAGCCCCTGCCCGCGGCTGCCCAGGTAGGACTCAGGGAGCGCCGTGTGGGGAAGGAGCGTGGGGTGCGGTCAGGAAGGCCTCTCCCCGGGGCGCCCACCCCTCAGGGCCTGAGACCCTGGCCCTGGGGAGCCCGCCGGCCTCACCCGCAGCACTGGCTGCAGCATGGTGCTCTTGCGCGTGGCCCTCTTGAGGCGCTCGCTGGCCAGCTTGCTGCCCTCCTCGTGGCAGGCCAAGGCCCGGGAGGGGCTGAAGAGGGCGTCCCTGCCCGGGGTGGCCCCTGGCTCTGCCCGCAGGACGCCCTTGGCCTTCTTCTTGCCTGGCGCTCCTGGTGGCCTCCGCCCTGGTGCCCGCTCCAGCTTGGTGCCCGCCTTCTCCTTCACCGTCCGCCGCCTGATCTTCACCTCGCCCTCGGGGCTGGACAGGCGGCAGGCCCCTGTGGGAGGGAGGGAGGGAGGGCGTCGTCACAGGGGTCCGGCTGCTGGAGGTCCCGCCCGCCAGGCTGAGCCACGCTGCCCACGCCCCCTGGTTACCGAGCAGGCCCTGCCTCTCCTTCTTCTTCTTAGCCTTCTGGTTGGCCTCCATCTTGACCACGGAGGAGGGCGAGGGCCCCAGCACGGCCATGCCGGGCCCCGAATGCAGCCCGGGCTCCCTGGGTGGCGCCTCTGTCCCCAAGAGACCCCCGCAGTCCTCGCTGTCATAGCCACTGCCTGGGAGAGAGGCAGAGGGGTCCCCCTGACTGCGGGCAGCATCCCGGTGTGTCCTGGGGTTAGGGGGGGGGATCACCACAGGGGGTCTGTGGGGCTGTGAGTGGAGCCCGGTCACTGCCATCCCCGGCTGCTCTGCGGGGCGACAGCCGCAGGAACTGGGCCCAGCCTCCAAGCTGAGGGTGCCTGGGCTGGGTGGGGTGGGCGCCTTCCTTTCTCCCTGGGCAACAGGGCGCCCACCTGGCAGCCTCTGCTGTCTCTGGCCCAGATGCCTCCCCCAGCCTGAAGCAGCGCCCTTTGTCCTTCCCAGGCAGCTGAGACCCCCGGGGAAGGGGCGAGGGCAGGGTCGGAGTGGGGGAGGAAGTGTCTATTTCTCCGGGCTCCTGTTTCTGGACGTGTGTTCGCCGGGGCCAGATGAGCCCTCAGTCGGCCTGGCCTGATGCTGTGTGCATGGCGGCTGGAGCAGGCAGAAGGGCTATTTTTAACCCCGTTTTCCAGGATGCGACCAGGGGTCTCCTTCCTCCCCCAAGTCCCGTGTGGGGGCGGGGCACGCAGACAGCCCCCGCCCCCCTGCGCCCCCTGTGCTGCCTTGGGAGGGGGGTCTCCCTCGTGAGACCCTCCCCTCCTCCCCCATCCTGCCTGGTGGGAGGTCTTCCCTGGCCCACCGCACCCACCAGGCCCCTGCAAGTGGCTGCTCACGCGGACAACTTGCCTGCTTCGTGGGGCGAGGCCACCGCCGGCCGCGCGGGGAATCTGGGCATCTCCCTGCCGCTGTCACCCTCGGGCTGTGCGCGCCGGGCTGCCCTGGATGCCTTGGCGCTCTTGGCTCGTGACAGCTCCTTGCGGATGCGCCCCCCTGGGCTCACCTCTGCCCGCGGGAAGGGGCCAAGGCCCGCGGGCAGCCCCCTGCCCTTGACTTTCGGCTTCAGCCGGCCTGCCTTGTGGGCCACTGAGGACCCCAGCCCACTCTGGCCACTGCTCTTCTTGCATCGCGCCTTCTCCTGTGGACAGGAGGTGATGGCTGCACTCTCGGGGCCCCCACCCCAGCCCATGGCCTTTGGACAGCTCTGTCGATGCCTGGCTCTAGCGTGGCACCACAGGACCTTTCCCTCAAAAGGGACGTCTTGCTTGGGGACACGGGTCCTGCACTTACGTCCCTGGCTGCACAGCCCCCTACTGCCCACCCACTTAGGTGCAAGAGCGTCATGAGACGGGCTGTGTGCTTTCCTAAAGGGGAGGGATGAGAGCAGGCACCCTGGACAGAAGGACCAGCCTCTGATCTGGGGGGACAAGCAAGGAGATGGCCCTGGGGAGCCCGTGTCCAGAGCCATCTCCGGGAGGGCAGGGCCCCGGCTCCCGCAGAGTCGTTCTGCTGAGAACGCGCCCACTGGCCGGGCAGAGCCAAGGAGGGAGTGCCCTGGAGCAGGTGGAGGGCCGGCCACCAAGTGGGACCTGCCTGCCAGGTGTGTTGAGAAGTCACAGGCCCCCGTCACACCCTTGGGTGCAGAGGCTCCGCCTGCTGTGGGGTCCTGGAAGCTCATGAGCCTTGGTTTGCTCATCTGAGCAATGGGACTCACAGTCGGATGTCTGCAGAGGGTAGGGAGGACTCACCAGGGAGCCTGCCTGCAGGCCGGCATAGACGCTTTTCTCCAGCCTGCTGCGCTTCGGGTTGGGCTTGCCTCCACCAGCTCCCCGCAGCTCCGCGCACAGCCGGCTGAGGCTGGTCCGCACTGCCCTAGGGCATGGGGTGTGGGTGGGGTCAGCGTGGGTGCAGGGCAGAGGCAGGCGCTATGGCACCGCAGTCCCTGTGGTGGGTCACAGGGTTGCAGCCTGTGTGCCCAGGGGAGCCCCACCCCTCGGGGGCTGAGCCGGCGCCGGGCACCTGCTGATCCCCAGCCCTTCCTCCCCCTGCTCAGCTGTGCTGGGAACGGGGACGTTTCTGTTTCCTACACATTATCCTTCCACCCTGCTTGGAAGGGACGCCCTTGGGAGGCTCTGGTCATGGCTATGGTGACCAGAGGCCAGCCAGCGGGACGGGCGAGGGCCCTGGCTCCCTGCGAGGCAGCCCGGTGTCGGGGAGCCGTGGTCCCAGCCTTGCCACCTGGGAAATGGGAAAGTCATGTCTGCGCCTCTCGGCGAGGCCGGGTGAGGACTGTGCAGGCCGGATGCTCCCACAGTCAGGAACAGAGAGGACACTGGAGTGGTCCACGAGAACAGGGCCTCCTGACATTTCTGCCACTGCCAGGAAGAGGATGGTAAACCCGTGGCCACGGAGTGGGGTGGGGTGGCAGCCCCAGGGAGCTCCTGCTGCTAGGCTCAGGCCCTCTCTGGAGCTCCAACCCCTGCTGTCCACACGGGTCTGGACACAGAGCGCCGGGTATCCGCCCATGTTCCAGACAGAGCCTGGGAAATGGCTGAGACCGAGCCTCGGTTTCCTCTCGCCCCACGGGGTTACTGTTCCTCAAGGCTGGCAGCTGCGGCAGGGTCAACCCCGCAGGTGCCCACAGACACCCCAGAACACCCCCTACCCGATTCCCCTACATCCTGGGGTCCCCACCCTCCCCCACATCCACTCCCCATGTGTTGGGGTCCCACCCTCCCCAGCACTCCTGTGTGCCAGGTGCACGACTCCCTTCCCCTCCCACCCCCATTTCACATGGGGAAACCGAGGCTGGGGAAGCTCGTCTGCCTGTCTGGCCAGACAGGGGCTGGGGGGCCTGGCCTCTCACCTTTGTGCCTCCCCACCCCCCATGCACACGTGCAGAGCGAGCCCTGGCTGTACACAAGAACGAGTCACAGATGGAGACTGAGAGCTCCCGCCCGCCCTGGCCTTGTGTGGTTGGACGTCCCTTTGCACCTTCCTGCCCAGAGAGGCGGCCAGGCAGGAAGCCACCACAGGGTCCTGCAGCCCCCCACTTCCTGTGGAGTAGGAGGCCTGTCCCCTGGCCCCAACTGCTGGCCAACAGCACAGGTCCCCCAGCCCGCAGAAGCGTGGGCTGGAGACGGCCAGGAGAGGCAGGAGCCCCATCCCTGTCCAGGCAGGAGCCCTTCCAGCCGAGATCTGTTTTCTTGGAGTTCGGGCGAAGGTGGCTTCCAGGCTAGGGTTGTGCCATGGGGGCATAGCGGGGCACACCGCCAGCCTGGCTCAGGAAGTGTGACGGGGCCCACACCCTCTCAGGCAGGGCTCCCCAGCAAGCCCCGGCCAGACCCGGCCCGCAGGGGCCCTCTGCTGCCCAGGGGACCCCCACAGTGCTGGCTGGTTCTCAGAGGGAGAGCCCTGGAGACCCGAGGTGGGTGACACCTGGGCAGGGCGGAGGGACAGCTCGGGGTGGGGCCGCCATATGGTGAATCCCGCCGTCGCCCACAGCCCGCGAGTTCTTCTCCTCCTCCCTGTAACCTTCTCTGCGTTTGCTAATGTTTTGTGACATAAAGCCCCGAGATTAATTTTTTGCCTCCGTCTTAATTGAAGGAACCATTTAGTGCCGATTTAACTATTATTACCAAATCATCAGGATTGATGCAGCGCACACGCGCGCGCGCCAATCGTGTTTGGAGGAGCTCGGAGGATTTATGCAAATGGGCCTGCCGGGAGAGGCAATTTGTAGCCGAGAAGGACAATTATACCAGGCCCGGGAGTGCGCCAACGACTGCGCCGGGCGGGTAATGGATAATAACATCGAGCCGGCAGCCGCGAGCCGCGCCACAGCGTGACCAACAGCTTTATATGCGCAGATAAAGAGGCTTTTACGCAACGCCGCCTCGCACGCAAAGGGGGCTGGGCGGGGGTGCCGGTGGGGGGGGTGATGCCACGGCCACACCAGGTGTGTGGAGCTGGCGTGGCCAAGCGCTGGGGCTGGGGCTTCCCGAGGAGATGGGTCCAGGGTGGTGCCGAGTGCAGCCGAGGGAGGCAACCCGGACTCAGGGCTGTGTCCACTGTCACTCACAACGGCCCAGAGTCTGGGAGGGGAGTGCTGGCCTTCAGAGAAGGGGTGAAGGGGCCCCGCAGCCCAGGGAGCTAGGGTGGGGGAGAGGAGCCCAGCCCCTTGTGCTCAGGCCTTAAGGCCCCTGGGCCAGCCCCAGCCTACCCATAGCACCCGGCGGTGGCCCTGAATCCAGGACTCACTTGACTTTCTTGCCGTCGGTCCTGGCCAGCTGGCCCCCAGGCCGCAGGGCAGGCAGTGAGCTGGAGTGTTTGCGCTTCCGCGGACGGCCGGGCCCCCGCCGTGCAGGGCTCCGAGAGCTCTCCTCTCTCCTGGGGGCCACGGAGGCGCAGTCAGAGGCTCATGCCCACCCTGGCTCCCCGACAGGGTCTAGCAGAGGGCACTGCCCTCGGTGGGGTGCTGGGGGTGGGCATGGGTGCTCCCAAGACGTGTCCTGGGAGCCCGGCCCTGCAGGCAGAGGGCAAGGCCGGAGCTGCCCCACCTCCCCACCTCCAGCCACCCTCACACTGCCCAGGGGAGCGCCCACGCCCCTGCTGCAACTGTGGGGTTTCCTCTGCCCCCAGAGAAGCCCCCAACTCCCGCTCTGGCCTCCCAGCCCCCTTCTGCCACTGCACCCTGGACCGGCCTCTCCCCCGGCACCAGCCTGTGCTCTGGCTCCTCCCCAGGAACCCCTGCTGGCTGAACGCCTCGCCCCTTAGGTCTGGGGAGTACCCCTGCCTCGGGGGGGGCCTCTCAGACAGACCCCGACTTCCCCCCACGGGCCGTGGGCAGAGGGGGGCGAGAGCCCTTGGGGAGTGCAGGTGCGGGCGCTGCGGGCCCAGCCCTCCCGCGGCCGTACTCGTGGTCGTGCCTGCGCTGCAGGCGGGCCAGCTCCCGCTGCTTCTCCTTGTAGCGCCGCTGCAGCTCCGCCAGCTGCATGCGCATCTCCACCTCCTGCGTGTCCAGCCGGTCGATGGCCGCTTTCAGTGGGCACACCTGGTGGGCAGGGCACAGGGGCCCGTGAGCCAGGCCAGGGCCCGGGACAGGGCCGACAGGGCAGGCTGGGCGCCTGGGCCCCCCACCCTACCACATTCCGGGCCACGCGGGCAGCGGGACCCCGACCGCACCCCCACTCACAGGCTTGGTCTTGGGGGCCCAGGAGTCTTTCCGCTGCAGGATCTGCATGCGGGGGGTGAGCCTGGGGCCACCGCAGGGCTCGGCAGCGGGGGGCTGTGCGGAGGTGGTGGGGACGTCCAGGCCGGCGGCCTCCACCAGGGACCAGGCTGTGGCCAGCGTGGCCAGGTGCTGCAGGTTGAAGGCCAGCACATCCTCCTCCTCCTCTGCTGGGGGGATGGGAAGGTCAGTGTGGCTGCAGGCGGGCACACGCTGCCCCTCCAACAGGCTCCTGCGGTCGGCTCTGAGGCTGCCCAGCTCCCCAGGACACGAGGAACAAAGACAAGCAAGGGTCAGGTCCTCAGGAGGGGCGGGTGGGCAATGGGGCTGGCACCCCTCCCCTGCTTGGCTCTGGGTCAGGGAGGAGCCTCCTTGGCTACAGGGCGGGGCGGCTGGAAGGGCACGAGCCCCTGGAGCAGGGCCCACCCCCGAAAACAAGGTGGAGCCCAAGGCACAGAAGTAAAGCAGGATGCGGCACAGCTTCCAGCAGCAGGGGCCTGCGTGTCCGCACTTCACACAGCAGCCCTGGGACCGACACTCGCTCCGGGGCCCTCAGAGACACACGTGGTGCCACGAGAGGCTTTAGGATAGCCACAAGCTGACGCCTGGGGCTGGGGACATGGAGGCTTCAACCACAAACCAAGTTCAGAGTCACACGGGCAGACACTGCAGGCACGAGCACCTGCGCCTCGCCAACCGTGGATGGCTCCAGGGGCTGGTGTCTGGCACCACGGCTAACCTGTCCATCTGTCCAGCAGTCCATCCACCCACCCACCTGTGGGGGCTACCCAAGCAGCCACAGCTGCAGGGAGGCCACCGGCCAATGTGTGGGGGTGTCCCTCAAGTTCCTGTGGGGATGGCAGCTGGCTGGGGTTTCCGGTGGGGAGAGGCTGGTCCTGGCCCAAGGTGCAGCCTTAGCCCCTTCTCAGAAGGCACCCACGTTCTTCCGCCTTCCCTCGGAACGCCCCCCACTCCCTGTGCTCCACCCCAGACCCCCACGGCCATGCTGGGTTCCTCCGGGTCCTTTCCCAGGCAGGTGACACTCCAGCGTGCTCCACCCCGGGCAGGCGGGGAGGACACGGCTGACCCCGGGTAGGGAAGGAGGCAGGGGGAGGCCGTGTCCTCTAGGGCTCAGGCTGGGGGGTGGCGGAGGGGCTGTCCTCACAGTGACTGGCAAGAACAACAGAAGCCTGGCACAGTGGCACGGGTGTTGCAGGCCTGGTCGGGGGAGGGGTGGCCCAACTTGGGGCCAGAGCATGAGCTGACGGAAGGTGGTGTCCATTCAGGGGAGGGGCCAACCACAGGGAGGGGGCTGGGCGCACATGGGCGGGTCCCACGGGACATCCGAGGGTCACAATGGCTTACAGCCAGGAAGATGTCAGACCAGAAGGGCCCCGTGGGGTCAGGATGGAGGTGGTCATGTCCCCGGGGGCACCTGGGAACAGCACCGATCTTGTATGGAACTTAGAAATACCGTCCTCCACCGAAAGGACCCGGGCTCTGGGCTGGGGCTGCAGTGTGGGTCAGCAGGAGCCAGGCTGGGCCCAGGTAGGAGGAAGCACCTGGCCACCTCAGGCTGTGGGGCCATCTACAAAGTGACGGGCAGGCGTGATGCCCACTCAGGGCAGGGAGGCAGAGCCCAGAGGACCAGGGCTTGGTTCACACCCAAGGCCACGATGAAGAAGCCAGGAGGTGCCCAGAGGGGTAGCAGGGCGGGGACGGGGCGGTGCCTGCAGCTCTGGGACCACCTTCTGGGCCAAGGCCACAGATCTGCAGCACGGAGACCTTCAGTCCTAGAGACAGGACGCTGGGTCCAGGTCCCTGGGGAATGGCAGGGAGGAGGGCTGAGGGGCTCTTCCTGCAGTGAGCTAAGCTGCCCTCCCACCAGCGGGCAGGGAGGCCCATCTGGGAGCCCCTTTCTGTGAAAAATCCCAGGTCTCCTGGTCCTTTGGGGCCATGGCTATCCGTCAGAGGCTCCTGTTCTTCCCCTGCACTTGGAGACCATGAGTGTGTGGACCCCACCTGGACTTGCACAAATGGTTCTGCCAGGCCTGGGGGTGGGCCTGAACCACTTGCCAGCTCCTCTGGGCTCCATGTCCCGCCCCTGGGCTCTATGCCCCGCCTCCTGGACTTCATGCCCCGCCCCCTGGGCTCTCTGCTGGCCCGGGATCCTCAGGACTTTCTCCCCGCCAACTCTCCCCCTGCGAATCCTGCCACTTGCCACAGGACCAGGCTGACCTCTGACCTCCTAACTTCAGCAAAGTGATCACCGCACTTGCAGGGAACAGCTCTGACCGAGCGGCTGCACAGGACCAGCCCATCAACTGGGACAAGGGGACGGTGGGGGCCCAGGGGTTCATGAGAGAAGGGGAGGGCAAAGATGTGGCTGGTGGTGGCTTGCTGTGACTGTCTCTTGTCACACACACCCTGGTAACCACAGCACTGACCAGGCTGGACACTTACAACAACGACGCCAGGTTATGCCACATGACTTCCCACCCAGGTCTACGCGTGAGTGCTCAAGGAATGGGCTCCGGTCCAGCAGGCTCTTCACTACGCAGGCCAGCCGCCCTGCCTCACATACACACCTGTCATCCCCTGGGTGCCCCTGCCATGGCGGGGCCCCGGCAGCCCAGGCCCTGGGGGTGCCGCTGAGCGCCCACACCGGCAGGGGCTCTGGCTTCCTCTCCTCTGCACAGCGCCTCCCAGGAGCAGGGGTCCCCGGGGCCCCCCAGATGCACCCCAAGGGCAGGCAGCACCCAGCCCAGCCCGGGTACCGCCAGCGGCGGGTCTCAGCCAGACAGCCTGGCCCCGCAGCCCCAGCAGGAGGCCTCATGTGAACATCCGCTGCATCTCGCAGCACAAACGGTGCGGTGGAGTTTGGCGGCCAAGGTGGCCCGCTTTACGCATCAGGAAAACAAGTGGCCGAGCCCTGGGGGCCACTCAGGTTTTCTATAAATATCCACTCAACAGCCTGGTGGGGTGGCCCCCTAGGGAGGGGCTTCCTTAGGGGCCTGAGGGGCAGATGGCCGCAGGAAGGAGGGGGCTTCTAGGGAAGCAGCGGGGACAACGGGGCACCCAGTGGGGTCCCCTTGGGGCTAAGCAAAGACCTGGCCCTTGGGCCCCTGTCGTGCTGCTGTCCGTGGGGCCCTGGGTGGGCAGGGGAGCCCAGGAGCGCCCAGCCCCTCAGTGCTGGGGGGACGTGTGGGGGTCCTGACTGGGGTTGTCTGATCACAGCCTTGTGCCCCTCCCCAAGTCTGGGGTGAGGGCTGCTGTGTCCCCACTGGATCTGCAGGCCCGGGGCCCACCACCATAGGCCCCGATGTGGTGGAAGCCTGGCGGAAGTAGAGACGGCCCCACCACCTGCCGCAAGACCCAAGTTCCACAACCTCACGCCTGTGGGACACGACATCGTTGGGTGGAAATGGAGACAGCGCATGGAGTGGCGGCTGCTGAGCCGCTGGTTGACAGCAATGGGAGGTGCCCTCCTGCGCCCAGGGGCCCTGCTGGGACGTCAGCTGGGCCACCGCTGGGGGTGGATCTGGCCTTAGCATCTGCCTGACTTCCAGGGACAACCACCGGTGGGTGGAGAGGGACACTCCCTGGCACCCACCACACTGCGGAGAAAACTGAGCCAGGCCCAAGGCTGCTGTCCGCCTGGCTGATCCAGAGCCAGGGCCCCTGAGTCCAGCCCCTGGGGTTTGCGGAAGGGTGGCGGTGCCCGCCAGGGCTTACCTGGCACGGCCTGCTCACTCCTCTGCCGCTGGGTGTCCAGGTCCGCCAGCTCGCTGAGCAGAGCAATCCCGTGAATCCCTGAGCTACTGGGCGGGGCGTCTGTGCTGGGGGGCCTGCAGGCCGCCAGGGGCTGAGGGTCCAGCAGGTCACCGCTGGGCAGGTCCCCCAGGTCGATGGTGGCAGCCACCAAGGCGTCCAGGCCTGGTAGCGCCCTGGGTGGGGGGCTGTCATCGGGAGCCGCCCTGTGCTCCTCCTCTGAGTCCTCCAGCTCGGGCTCCAGCTCGGCCTCCTCTGGGGCCAGCCGCGCCCCCTCCTCACCCAGGGCGCCCGGGCTCCCTGCCTGCTGCTCCAGGGCCGGGGCGGAGGCCCCCAGCGAGGGCCCTTGCTCCCCCTCCTCGCCCCCCTCCCTCCTGCTTCTCTCCTCTTGCGCCCCTCCCTGAGTAGAACGAGCCTGGACGGTGGCTTCAGGGACCCCTCCCTCGAGGAGGGCCCCGCACTGCAGTTCTTGCAGCCCCTGAAGTGGGCTGGGGTCCACTGCCATCCCCTGGGCTCCCCGCTCGGCGGGGTGAGGGGTGGCGCCAAGGTTCTGGGCGGCCTCCCTGGCCCCCAAGAGCAGCCCAGGCTCCTCCAGCCTCACGGGGCCGCAGGGGGGCAGCTCCCCGGGCAGGAACGTCCTTGCAGGCTCAGGCTGGGCCCCTAGGGCGGCGGTTTGCATAGTTTCGGGGTGCTCGAGGTCAGATGAGTGCATGTCTGAGGGCAGGGAGGAGGAGAAGCCAGCGCTGGCCGTGGGGCGTGTGTACCCAGGAGGCAGTTCTGCAAAAGACAGGGAGGGAGGCCGGAGGTCAGGGGTCACGAGAGAGCCGGGGAGCTGGGGAGGCGGTGTGGCTGTTACAGGATGGAGACAGGGGCCTCGAGCCCCGAACACTGGGACCCAAGCCTGGGAGGGAGGCTCTGGGGCCAGCTCGCTAGGCCCACAGGACTCATGGGAAAGTGTCACGTTCATCAAGGGGCAGCCTGAGGCTGGCCGGGCTGGGCCTCCTTCCCTGGCGGGGCAGCCTTGAGCCTCTCCTGCTGCAGCCCTGGGGGTCCCGGGGGCCGTCGCTGGCCCAGTGTGTGCGGCTCACCAGAAAAGAGGGATTTTTAAAACACGATGCTTGAATCAGGGCTTTCCTTGAACCAGAACGCGCCAGCAGCGTGTCGAAGGCATTACGCCCCATTAACTGCAATAAAAAAAACTAAGGGAAAAAAAAACCTAAAAAAAAAAAAGCTCTCTGTTGGCTCAGTCTCCTTACTGTGAAACTAGGACGGGTTTTATGTTCACCACACGGGTTTCCAGTGTAAACTCTCAGCCTAATTCAGAGAGAACTGAATAGGCGGGCGAGCGGGCCACAGGGCCAGGGCTGTGGCCGGGACAAGCTCCCTGCCCCGCCCCACTGTGCCAGCCTTGCAGCTGGGGCGGGCTCCGCGCCTGCTGCGCCGTGGGCCGCCCCAGCGTTCACGGGCACCTCTCACTCCAGAGACCCCAATGGGGAGCCTGACCTCTGACCTCTGTCCCACTCCATCTGCCAAGGGCTGGGAAGGAGACAGCCGGGACACTGTGCTCTGCCCACGGAACGTCCACAAGGACGGGGGTTGGGGGCAGAGAACAGAGGGGAAGGCACAGTGCCCTGGCCCTGACGGGGACTCGGTGGGTGAGGGGTACCCTCTGTAGGTGCCGGGTGACAGCCCTGAGTCAGCTGTGCCCACCAGGTGGGCACGGGAAGGCTGAGTGGAGTCCACGCCAGGCCAGGCCAGCCTCGTGCTCTTACCTGGTTCCAACGAGGCAACGCTGGCCCCGGGCCGCCGGCCATCCCCACTCTCGTCCTTGGCGCTGGGCACCTTGGAGCCAGGCCCGGGGCTGCCGGCAGGGCAGACGGGTAAAGTGCACGGGGCGCTGGGCCGCGGCGGGGGCGTGGGGCAGCTGGCGGGGGGCTTCATTGTGGGTGGGTGGCAGCAAGGTGGCAGCTTGATGGGGCCTGTGGCAGGCGAGGGGGCGCCCTGGGCCGAGGGGGTTAAGGCAACTGGCTTGTGGGTGGACTTCAGGGCCTTCTCCTGGGTGGGCTCCTCCAGCTCCAGGTGGTGGTCCTCCGGCTTCCGCTGTCAGGGTCGGGGGAGAGGCTCAGACGGGCGTAGCACCCCCACTCCCACGCCTCAGGTGTGCAGCGGTCCCAGACCAGGCCGGGTCCACGCAGGCAGGGAGGGGACTGCCCTGGTCCTGGGTACCTGGAACTGGGCGGCCCGCTGCAGCTCCAGGGCCTGGGCTGCCCGTTGCTGCTGCTGCTGCTGCTGCTGCTGCTGCTGCTGCTGTTGCTGCTGCTGCTGCTGCTGCAGGGCGTAGAGCTCCTGCTGCCGCAGGAGCTGGGAGCGCGAGTAGACGGGGAGCTGGCCCGCGTGCTGCATGTGGGAGGCAGGGCCCCGGCCCCCATACATGGAGGGCCACAGCGAGGCCTGGTCCATGACATCCGCTGCGGGCAGGGCCAGAGAGAGATCAGGGGTGGACGGCTGGGACTGTTTCCCCAGCGCCCCTGCTGGTCTGTCCTTGGCTCGTGGCTCCCTGCTGAGAGCCGACTACCCCCCAAGGGCCGCCCCTCCTTCAACAGCCCCACGGCAGGCAGCCTGGACCAGGGCCTTACCGAGCGCGTGGGGGGCACTGTGGGGCGCGGGCTCCGAGGGCAGGATGACCAGTTGTGTGGGGGCGTCCTGGGGGAGGGGGAAGACGGAGGGCACGGGACCAGCCACAGAGGCAGGGAAGCCAGGGGGCAGGTTCTGGTGCAGGGCGGGGTGCCCCAGGCCTGTGGGGAGGGCACGGTGGTGGTCAGGACAGAACCCCAACAGCCCCGGGCCAGCCCCCCACCTTTCCCCAGCACTGACCGTAGGAGTGTCCCCCCATCCACAAGGAGGGGCTACGCGTGCGGGGCAGCCAGGGGGGATGCGCAGGGTGGGGGGCCGAGTCCCCACCCAGCTGGCCACCCTGCATCATGAGGTGGGGAGTCAGGTCTCCAGGGCAGCTGCTTGACGGGTGGATCCGGGCAAAGTCCACGAGGTCTTTGTTGTCCCTGCAAGATCATGGGGCTCAGCCCTGCCACCGCGGCCCCTGGGGAGCCTGCAGCCACCAGCCTGGGAGGGGGACACCTCAGATTCCAGGCCCTGTGGTGGCCCTGTTGTGGGGTGGGCATCGGCAGAGCCTCCAGCACTGTGAGACCCCAGAGGGGTGCAGGAGCCACTGCGTAACCTGCCAGGGCCCGGCCACAGACCTGACCATCCCAGTGGGACCACACCTCGCTTTCTCCCACATGGGTGTCGAGCGGCCCGCCCGGAGGTGGGCTGACCCCACCCGCAAGCCACAGCCAGGCTCTTACTGCAGCAGCAGCTCGCGGCCAGCCCGCCCCAGGCGGTCATCACACAGCCGTGTCCTCTCCTCCTCGGCCTCCAGGTCCAGCACGTGTGTAGAGCGGGGCCCCCCGCCAACTGCACGGGAGAGATGGCAGGGGCGGGGGAAAGGGTTGGGAGCCACTGGCTGAAGCAGGCAGTGACCCCACTTTGAGCCAGGGGACTGAGGCACTGAGGGAGGGTCCCCCGGCCCCAGGGGCCTCTGAGAGTCTGCCAAGTGCAGGTGTGGGCTGAGCAGGCTCACAGGGCAGACAGGGCCTTCCTCCCTCCCCAGGGGGCCATACCTTTGAATGTGGGGGCGGCCCGGCCCTGCCGCCCAGCGTTGGCACCATAGGCCGTCTCTGACCGGCTCGCCGTATCCTTTTGCCGGGCCAAGGCCACTGCGATGCCCACAGGCGGCTGCCGCGCCTCCCCGTCACCGTGCGGGGCATCGTGCTCCCTGCTGCGGGCACAGTCGGGCCTCTCCGCCTGGCCTGGGCCCTTGGAGGACGGGAACTTCGCTTCCTGTTGAACGCAGCTGGCCTTGAGGCTGCCCAGGCCCACGAACGGTGCCTTCTGGCCCACGACCAGGGCCTGGTTGCTGTACTTAAGCAGGTTCTTCATGGCCGAGACCTCGCCTGGCGGGGTGGGCAGCTCCTGGGACAGGAGTGCCGCCTGCTGCAGGCCGCCGCTGAAGGGGTCCAGGTAGGCGCCAGCCTTGTGCTCCTCGCTGATGGCCATGGCGGTGCCCTGGCCGGCCTGCACACCCCACTGGGGCAGGTGGGACCCACCGTAGCCCAGACAAGCCAGCTCCAGGGACTTGCGCTTGGCCTCGGCCCCAGTGCCCCCGGGCTCCGGTTCAGGGGCCACCAAGTGCTGCTGATGCCGGATCCGGGCCACCTTCTGGGTCCCAGGAGCACCAGTGGGGGCTTCCTTGTTGGCGGTCTTATCTAAAGTGCAGCAGGCCTGGGCGGCCTTCCCACCCAGCGGGTCCTGGTGACCGGGCCGGGCACAGTCCTGGGAAGGAGTAGGCAACTCGAAATAGCCGCTTTTGTCCAGACAGCCTTTGGGGAGCCCCGGGAAGGAGGCCTCGGGGCCTGCACTGTTGAGATACTCCAGGCCCTTCAGCCGGGGGTTGAGGGCTGCCTCGAAGCCCCCAGGCCGCCGCTCGCCCGTGCCCTCAGCCTTCAGGTGGGCATAGGAGACACCGTAGGGCGCAGCGTGGTCAGAAGCCGTGGTCCCCTCCAGGTGCCAGTCCTTGCCCTCACCCACCACGGCACAGGCCTCAGCCGCCTGGAAAGGGCGGCTTTTGTCGGCGAGGTGACCCACGGAAGGCACAAAGGTGGGCCCGCTGGCCTTCAGGTCCCGGGGGACTTTGTCCTGCAGTGGGCAGAGCCCGTCGGGCCCACCATGCAGCTGCAGGCAGGGGAAGGAGCCGGTGGCTGTGCCCAGGGGAGGGGGAGGCCCGGTGGGCAGGCCCGATGGCACCGAGTAGGATGCGGCATGGTGCAGCATCTGCCGCCTCTCCAAGCACTCGCTGAAGGCTGGCCCGGGCTCCATGGGCCCCACCGCCTCCTTCACACAGCGCCCGGGCGCCACCACCCCTGCTCCAGGCCGCCCCAGTGTGCCGCCCGCACAGCTGGCCAACGTGGCCTTGCCTGTGTCGCCATCGAGGGCCTTGGCATTGAGGAGGCAGGAGGTGGGGTGCTTGGGGCGGCCCTCGCAGGTGCCTCGGGGCACGGGGATACCCTCTTTGCAGTGCCCGTCGGCCAGCACCAGCTTGTGCCGCTCCTTGCCGCTGTCCTCCTCGGCCGCCGGGCGCTCCTTGCCCTCAGCCGCCTTGCCGGCCTTCTCTCTGCCCAGCTCCTTGCCCATGAGGAAGCGGTCGAACTCCTTGGGGCCCTTCTGCAGGGGGCCGGCCTCGCCCCGGTCACGGCTGCAGGAGCCAATGGGGTGGGCGGGTGCAGCGCGGGCCACGCCAGGGAAGTTGTGATTGGCGGGCAGGAGGGCGGGCTGGGGGGGCAGGTTGCGCAGGTAGAAGTTATCTGTGTGCAAAAGAACCAGGTCACCAGCAGGCCCGGAGGGCTCAGACACCCCCAGACGTGCCAGGTGCTTCTCTAGCCCCAGCCGGGGCTAACCCAAGGTCACTGTCTAGGGAAGGTCTTTGTTTTGGCTTTTTCCCCTGAAACTGTAGCGAAATACACGCAACAAAACTGTGTCCCCGGTAAGCACTCACCGTCCCCCAGCGAGGTTCTGACTTATGTTCAGTTCCGCCCGGAGGTGGGAGATGCACACACCTGGCGGCCGGCTCAGTGAGGGGCAGGCAGGTGGGCGCGGGCGCAGGTGAGCGTTCACAGAGCATAGACTCACAGGGTCTTTACAGACAAGCGTCAGAACTTTAGACACTAAGGACAGGTGTCTCATCGGGCTCTTAGTGACCCGGAGGAGGAAGGGACGCCCCGGGTGCCTGGGTGTGCGCCTGGCTCTCCTGCACCCAGCGCACCCTGGGGTCTCTAGCCCCAGCCCCTTGGCATCTTTCCTGTGGGTGTTTCGGCCGGTCGGCCCGAGTGATGGGTCAGAACAGGAGGAAGGAAGAGGACGCCCTGGCTGGAGAGTGGCAGCTGGACTCGCCCCAGCGTGGCCCGGGGCTCCCTCTGCTGCACCAGGGACGCAGCCCACAGGCCAGGGCCACACCTTCCACCCTCGGAGGGTCTACTCTGGCTCTCACCACAGGTCCTCACAGGTCCCCCGCCCGAGCTGGGACCAGGTCACTGCCTCTGGGGGGGTCTGGGGGGCTGCCTCTCCCCGAGCCCAGCTGGGTGGGTGGGCGGCAGTGTGGACGCCAAGAGCTGACAAGGGGGCGAACAAAAGGAACATTTGGAACTTGTAAAATTGTCCTCAGTCATGTAAATTCCTTGTCAATTTCCTGCTAATTAGAAACAAGGGGGAAGGGGAGTAGGACGGGGTAGCCTGGGAGAAACCTAATTAGCTCAATTTCCAAAACCAAATAATGTTCTTGGACGCGGCTCTACCACAATATTGTGAAAGCCGAGAGGCGGCCGTGCTCGGTGACACCAGCAGGCCCACTGCCCGGAGGGAGCCCTGGGCTCTGGTTCAGGGGTCGGGTTTCCAGGCTGGGACCAGCACCTGCCCGCCTGACGAACGCTGTCAAAATAGCTGCATGGGCCGGGGCTGATGCGGGAATTTGGGGATCCGGCCGCGGCCGTCGGGGCATCCTCCAGGCAGCGGAGCCCTGGCCTCCAGCCCCAAGAGCTGGGATTCTTGGGCGCCCAGGGTCAGACCCGACTCTCTTGGGGGGTTGGGTGCCCCCCACAGGGCCTTGCCTGCACCAATCACGACGGCCAGTCCGGCCAAACCAAAGCTGCAGGCTGGGCCAACGGCACACAGGTCCTGGCGTGCGGGGCAGGCGGGGAGAAGGGGCTAAGGGCAGCCGAGGCGGCGGCAGAGGGTGGGCCTCAGGCTCCCCCAGCACCACGGCTACCTCAAGGGCGTGGCTCACTGGGGTCCCCCTTGCTTCCTTCCCCATGGGGCGCCGTTGGCCTCCCAGGCCCACTCTGCCCCCCAGCCCTGAACATGGGGGCTCCTGGGGCTCCCCAGGCTACGGGGGACGCTGCCAGTCCTCACCCCCTTCTCATCTGCCCTCTCCACCAATGGGTCAGCCACCACCCTTTGACACTGACCCCGCTGTGTGTGACCAGCCACCTCCTGGACCCCTCTGGGAGACCCCCGCCCCACTGAACTCACTCCTCCCCTCTGAACTGCTGCTCCCCAGGCCGGCCCCCACAGCCTGGGCCAGGAATGGGGTCACCTGGGCCCTCTGTCCCTCCCTGCCCCAGTCTCAGCCTTGCTCTCACTGATTCCAGCCTCCGTGGGATCCCACATCCACACCGCGAGTCCCTGAAACATGGTCACCAGCCCTGTGGTCTTCCCGGCCCAGCCTTTTGGCATTTTAGGGAGCTTCCTAAAGTGCAAATAAGATGTCACCTCACTCAAGAAAAAACTCCACTTGGAGACAGGTTCCCCCGCCCGTCCCACGACCAGCCAGGCTGAAGCTCTTACAGGTTCCTAGACGGGTCCTGCTCGTGGATGCCAGCCTGTGCTGGGCCCACCCTCCCCGGGGCCTCACTGGCCATCTTCTTATCAGCAAAGATTCAAACTCTGCACCCCTTCTCTGGGGACGCCCGCTGCCAACAGGTGAGTGGCCCCTCTGTCCACAGGAACAGAGCTGCTGCCCCTCCCACAGCCAGCCAGCACCGCTGACTTCAGGACCCGGCAGGGGCTGGGGGTCGGGCCTCGTGCAGCCCAGGTCAGGCCGGGGCCCAGTGAGCGCTGGGCCAGGGAACGCAGGCCTCGGTGGCTTCCTCCAGCCCCCACCTGATGGCATCTCCTCCTGAGCCACCCGGGAGCCCTCCGCCGAGGCCAGGTGCTGAGGGAGCTGGTGCCTGAGCACGGGAGCTCGGCAGAGCGGTGTTTCCAGAGACTCGCTCCCGGGGTGGTCCTGGCCCCAGGGTTGGAATCCTGCCGTGCCTGAGGGGCAGGCGCCCCCTCTCCCCACCCCAAGGCCTGCCCGAGGACCCTGGCGCCCCAGGCTCCCAACCCCGCACCCCACGCCGCACTTGCCTTTTTGGGCTCCATAGAAACGGTGCTGCCCGTAGAGAACGTTGCTGTTTCCATGGTGATCCAAGTGGCTCACGGGTAGGAAGGTGGATGCCAGACTCCCCGAAAACCTGGGGTACCCCGGAGCTGGAGAAGCAAGGAGACTGCTGTGGAGGCAATTTCTGCCCCGGTCCCACGCCCTGACTCAGGGCAGACGCCGGCGGGGGGCCCAGGAGCGGAGCCCGGCAGAGCCCGCCAGTGGGAAATCAACCCATCAATACATCATATTAGCTCTGACTCGACGAACACCGTCCCTCTGGTGCAGCACAAATTGAATTGCTGACGGGTGGGGGCCGGGTGGGGGGGTCCAATTTCCCTCCCAGCAGCACTCAGTGCTGCGGAGCTGCCAGGCAGGGAGCTGCCGGGGCTCTAGGAGCTCTGGGGAGGCGTCTGGGGAGGACGCCCTGCACGGCTCCCCGCTGGAGGAGGGCCAGGGCAGACTCGGCCTCCCGCCACCTGGGCCATCCCTCAGGCCCCCATGGGAGCACAGTCCCTGGCCCACACCCCTAGGTCGGTGCAGCTGAGATGTGGCAAGTGTCCACCCTGCGGGAGGTCACAGGTGTGTCCACCTGGGGAGGAGGCCGAGCCCTCCGCTGTGGCAGGGCCTCTTCTGCTCTGGATCTTCAAGGGAGGCTGGGCCCCCCACAGTGGCAGTGTCGCCCCCCCAATCTCCTGCATGGGTCCCCAGGCCCGAAACCCTCCTCAGTGACTCCGAGTAACACCAGGCAGGCCCCTCTCTGGCCTGGGGGGTCTGTCCTCCCGAGGCGGCCTGCCCCTGCCCAGCCATACCCTGGAGCTGAGCACCCCGGGAGGGAAGGGGGCCCAACCTACAGGACAGGCAGGATGAGTGTCAGCCTAGGTGGGCCTGTCTGTGGGATGCCCAGAGTCACCAGTGCCTGGAATGTGGCTTCTCAGGCTACTCCTTCCCCCCAGGCCCGGCAGGAGATGAGGCCCCGGGCCTCAGGCAACACCCTTCAGACTCAGGCCTACCGAGCCCCTCATCTGGCCTGCTGGTTGCCAGCCGGCCCACCCTGCTCGCTGCTGCCTCCACAGCAGCTGCCAGACTGTGCCCAGAGCCAGGCGCGGCTTCCCTGGCCAGGCTCTGACGCGGCCGTGAGTGAAACACAGGGTAGGCCTGGGGATGGAGGCTGAGGGGCCACTGCGGGCACGTGGGGTCGTGCAGCCCCTGCAGGCCTAAGGCTGGCCAGGACGCCCGAGGGGCAGGCATTTGAGGCAGGAAGCCTGGAGCATCGGCGTAGTGACAGCCTGCCAGGAGGCACCCCCGCCCACCCCCTCTGCAGACGAGGAGGTCAGGGGTGGATCATGCTGTGGGACAGGGACAGTCGCTGGAAACCAGCTCAGAGGAGAGCAGGAGGAGCAGAGCTCACAGGCGTGTCAGGCAGGGACACTCTGGGTCCCCCAGGAATAAGGCCCCAACGGTGTGGCGCCCCTAGTCCCAGTGCGGCACCCCACACCTCAAGCCTGTGGGCCCCGCTGTAGCAGAGGCCACCTTCAGCCCCAATGACGTTGTTCAATGTTCTCTGGCTCCGGAGATCCTGGGTGAATCCAGAGAACTCCATCCCCAGGAGATGCTCCACGCAAAACAAGCTACAGGTCACACGGCTCTAAGAGTGCGCCCCACGCCCGTCCCCATGTGGAGTCCCGAGAAGGGCACGAGCATGGTAAAGGCTCTGAGAAGTCCTGTGATGTGGAGACCTGCTCCGGGCGGAGGCTCCTGGGGAAGGTGCCCACCCTGGCCGGCCCCTGCGGAAGACATAGGCTGGGCCTGCCGACTGGCCTGGGTGTGGGGACACATCTGGAGCAGATGTTTACCAGACTCCACGCAGCTTCTGGAGGACCTGGCAGAAGCTGAGAGGGGACAGGGTGGGAGTGAGGGGGTGGGAGCGGCGGGGCAGGGGTGGGGGCTGATTAAACCTCTGCAGCTGTCCCCCTTTAATTGGCTGCTGTGAAATGTTTTACGAGGCCTAGGTTTTTGGTAAACAGAAGTCTGTAAATTCCTCCTTCCCAGACGGCGTTTCCCAGGCGAGGAGCCCCCGTGCCCCCTGGGGAGGTCCAGGCTGGTGTTCAGCTGGCCGAGGGGTGGGCTCCTGCACGGTGCCCTTTGCGGGCAGCATGAGGGCAGGGGCCAGGCTGCCCTGGCTGAGCCGGGGCTGGTGGCCGCCTGGGCCGGGCGGTGGGGATACAAGTCTAGCAGGGGCCCAGACCCAAAGGCCTGGCAGGCTCCGTCCCCAAGGCCCTGGGGGGGAACCAGGGCTGGAGGGGGGAAGGAAGGAGGGAGGAACGGGGGGAGGGAGCAGGAAGGAGAGAGGGAGGGGCCCGGGTGCCACCAGGAAGGGGCAGGGGAACCTCGGTGTGGGGGCCCTGCAGGGCAGAGACGGAGGAGGGGAGAAGGGTCCTTCCAGCCTGGCGGTAGAAAGCCCCTTTCTTCTTCCCAAAGAGACCGCACTCTCAGAATTGAAGAAAACAAAAAAATGGTTTTTATGAATCAGAGCAGCTGTTCTGAGACCAGAAGCCAGAGCTGCTGTGGCCAGGCTGGGGACACCGCATGCTTGGAGGGGCTGCCGGGGAGGGGGTCCTGGGGAGGGGTCGGGGTGGAGGCCCCAGTCTGGCCCGGGCACAGACAGCGGGAGGACAGGAGCAGAGGGGGCTGTAGAGCCCTGGGGCCACAGCACCTCGGCCCCACTCCTGCTACAGTGCGGTGGCCCCAGAAGCCCCTCCCCAGACCCCCTTGAGGTCAGAGCCACGGTGATCACCCAACTGACCCGCGCCAACTGGCACTGAGCAGACCGTGAGCAACAGGGCTCCGGCCGCTGAGCCCCGGGGACGCTGGAGGTCTCACAGAGGACGTCCCATCCTGCCCCTACTGCTAGGGTCCCCAGGAGCCTCGGAATCCCCCCAGATAGGGAAACTGAGGCTCAGAGCCCCGAGGCTGGTGCAGCTGTAGCCTGTGGAGACCCCTCCTTGCCTGTCTGCTCTGTAAGAGGCAGACCATGACCTGGTCTGCCCCGGCCCTGCCTCGTGGCTGCCTGGCTGTGGGCAGGGGCCACGTGCAGCCCGACTCCCAGAGCCCGGCCGCGTCCTTGGTGCTGGGTAGCAGAAGCTTGTGGGGGCAGGGGGTGCCCACCCCAAAACACAGGAACTCAGAGGGCAGAGGAGACGCTGGCTCAAGTCTCGGCACAGCCCGTCCTGAGCCCGTTTCCTCACCTCAGTGACGGGCATAGCCGCTGCGCAGCACGGTGCTGCTGGGAGGACACGAGGCCAGCACCACCCCAGGGCCAGTCTCAGGATAAAGTGTCACTGTCCTGCCTGACCCAGAGCCAGGACTGGCCGTGGGACCCCTGCCCCGGGGCGACCTGCAGCTGTGGGAACCAGGCCCCTTATCCAAGCTGGGCTGGACGGGGGGCCTCGGGACCCTGGCCCACACTCCCAGCTGACTGGGGCTCAGGTTCTACCACCGAGATGCCCCACCTGGCTGCCCCAGGGCTGTGTCCCCCCCAGCCCTCCCGGTGTGGCCTCACTCCCCAAGGGCCTCTGCCAGGTGCAGGGCTGGGCACTGGCCCCCATAGTCATCAGGACGGGACCCCCGTCCTCTGCGACAGCGGATGGTGGGTGGTCAGCCAGGCCGCGGACAAGAGGCACATAAAGACACTCTCCGCAAACCGGGCTCAGGCCACCACAGGACGTGCGGAGTAGGAGGGCAAACTCCAGGGGGACGGAGGCTGGGCCCTGGCGGGGGCGGCCAGCTGGGGCAGGCCACAGGGAGGGGCTGAGGGCTGCCGAGGGAGCACCACCAAGGTGGTCCACGGTCCAGAGCAGGGTGGGTTAAGAGGCCATTTTAGCCACCGAGGAAAAAGGCCCAGGAGGAAAGAGAGCCCATGGCCTGGGAGCAAGGGGGCCGGACCCAGAGCAGGCGCACGGACGGGTGGCTCTGGAAGGATGGAGCTACAGGAGCCCTGAGAGCCCCAGGCCACGGGGCGGTGGGCACAGGCAGCACCTCCGTCCCCCGCACAGATGCGTCCCGGCCCTGCTTGCAGCTAGAAGCCTGGGCGAGTCCCCGGGAAGGGGGCGGGGGCAGCAGGGGACTGCAGGGGCGGAGGTCCTGGGCCTGAACAGCAGGGAGCCCTGGGGGGCTGCCCCCGCCGGAGCCAGGCCGGATGCAGAAGAGGCCACGGGGCGGGTGGCTCCGACGGAGGCGGCCAGGCGGACGGCCAGCGCCTGTACGTGTGCCCACTGCCCCGCGGCCCCTCCAGGTGGCACAAGAGACCGTGAGTAGCGCTGGCCGGGCGCTCCACGGCTCCTGCCCTGCCCTGCCCAGCTGAGCCCCCCAGGAACAGAATCTCCTTTCATGGGCCCTGTGGGTGGTCCCAGCCCAGCAGCTGGGGGTGGGTGGGAGGGAGGGGACCCAGCTTGCTGACAATAGGGCCAGCTGTGTGGTACCCCACCCTGCTCCGACCCACCCAGGGCCGCTGGCCTGACGGTGGCTCACCTCCCTCACCTCCACCCGGGCCAGTTCCGCTGCCCGCCCCCGCCCAGAGCCTGGAGGAGTCCACCTCTGGCGGAACCCCTTGTCTCGGGTGAGCCAGAGCAGGGGGGAGGTGGGGGCTGGGCCAGATTTCCAGCCCAGCTCGCCCAGCTCCCCCAGCTCCGGGTGCCTCCCCTGCACCCCCAGCTGTTTCATCCGCAAGCAGGAGGCCCAGCCCCACTCCACGGCTGCCCTGCGGGTGGTGGGAGAGGAGGGTCTGGGAGGCCCTGCTTGAGGGGGGACACAGAGTCGACACCCGCTAGGTTCCTGCCCCCCCTGCCCCACGCTGGCCTCCCTGGCCTTGATGCAGAGGCCGGGTGGGAAGGGGTGGAGACCTGGCTCTGTCTGGCACCTGCCTCCCTGCCCACCCTGGGTGCTGTGAAGGGACGGGTGGGTGAGGGGGACAGTGGCACCCGGGCAGCCCATCGCGCCCCTCCCCCGAGCGCACACGGCAGAGAAACAGGCCCCGGCGTGCAGGCAGCCAGCTGGCGCCCCGTCAAACCAGCAGCCAGGCACACTGCCCGGGCAGCCAGCCAGCCTCGCGCCCCGCCTGCCTGCCACTGGCCTCGCCGTGCAGCCCGCGGCAGCACCACGCGGCTGCAGAGGGCAGGGGAACCCCGCAGGGAGGGGATCCCGGGGCGCGGCAGCTTCACTAAGGCAGGGAGACAGAGGGGCCCACTGAGCCACGGCCTTGAGACGCGCGTGTGGCCCACGAGATGCTGCTACCCTCGGCAGGGCAGGCAGGTGGACACGCGTGTGCTCTCCTGCCACTTCCTCTCGTCTCCCATCCACCTGTGCCGGCCCTCCAGGCCCACTGCCTGACACAGGTGCCCCCCACCTGCCTGGGCACATCAACACAGGACCACGCGTCTCCCCCAGCGACAGGAGCTGCCCAGCAGGTGGACAGGCGGCTGCTGCCCTCACGGCTGGTCTCAGAGAGAAGCACCTCCTCAGTGTGGCACAGCCAGGGCCACCGTGGCACCGTCCCCTCCTCCTGCGCAGGCAGGATGTAGGCAGAGAGGGCTTGGTACAGCCGGGAGCCCAGAAGCTAAGGGCCTGGGGCCACCCCCTACAACACACACACGTCTGGGATACGGCCTCCCAGCCAGCCAGGGGGACGGCTGGGGGCTGAGGCGGGAAGATGGAACCTGCCGACGTGCCAGGCCCCACACCAGGGGCCGAGGGCTGGTGGAGTGCCCGGTGGGCTGCGAGTGTCTCCGCCCTGGCAGCCGTTGGCACAAGGGGAAGTGGGTGTCTGGAGGCCGTTGTGGGCGCTGTCTGCCTGCAGGCTGCCACCCACCCTCTGAGCAGCCCCTGGAGGGGCAAGACGGGGCTCCGGGGCAGGTGGTGTTACCCACAAACCGCCCCCTTGCTGGCGGGGTCCCCAGGGCTGGGATGGAGGGAAGCAGTGTATGAGCCTCCCGATGCAGAGGGCTCAGGGTATGGGCTGGTGCCTCTCCTGGGCTCTGCCCAGGGGCCACCGTCACAAGGAGGGGAAACCAAGTCAGCCAGCCCGGGCACATTCATGCACCTGTGGTGGGCCAAGGTCGGGGAAGCAGCTGCTGTGTCTGCTGAGGGGGCCCCGCGGCTGCTGTAGGCCTCCCTTGCCTGCCCCCGCCCCGCACTTGGCCACCCTCCTCCCTCCCACAGACGTCCTGGGAGCCAGATGCTGCTGCTGGCCGGGGCGTCCTCCCAGCAGACACAAAGGCCAAGGGACGGTTGGGGTGGAAGCAGGAAGGTGGGGGCCTCCCCGGCCAGCCCGGTCCCCTCCCGGGAGGCCGCTAGGTGTGCAGGGGCGGCAGGAAGGCACAGGCGAGTCTGGGCTGAGAAACCCGCTCTGCCCACTGCTCTGCCCGCCACGTCCTCGGGACGCGGCCTCCCCTCCGTCCGGGAAGGGAGCTGGTCCTTCCCGCCTGCCCAGCGTGCGCCCGTGCCTAAAGCCCAGATTATTTTAACAACTGTCCCTCACTCGTCACCTGTTCTGTTTGGAAAACAGCCCCTTTCTTGTTGCACAAAGAGAGGTTTCTCTGCTTCCAGCAGTGCCGGGTGCTAATCTCCCTGCCTGGAACGGGGCGGTGGCGCGGTGTGTGGGTCCGCCGCGCTCTGTAAACACAACGCCCGCCGCTCGGCAGAGTCATTGAGTTACGGCAGCGCCGGGTGCCAGGAGCAGAGAGCCCTGTGTGCCTGCTGCCAACTGCAATTACCTCTCCGCGTGCCAGCCGCAGGGGGTGGAGGGGCTTAACCCTTCCCACACTGTGGGGGCCGGGGAGTCAGGGCCCAGGGTCACCCGATTCATAGAGCCAGCGGACTAGGCAGGCAGTGGGGAGCTGGGCGGTGCCCTGGGGTCCGAGAAGGGCCTCGGGGACCCTCCTGCCAGCCAGGCAGAGCAACAGGTGTTCATGGAGCACCTACTGTGTACCGAGGGCTGCGTCCCACCGAGAGACTGGTGGCCTGGGAGGAACTCTTTGTCCTAGGCCAGGCCCTGGGGTGGCAGCCTGAGTATGTTGGCAGCTCTCCCCTCCCCGCCCCTCCCTCCCAGCTGGCACATCTGGGGCCCACGCCTCCTCAAGTCTGGGGAGGTGGGGCGCAGCCTGCAGTGGAGGCCGCAGTCCGGCCGGCTGGCCCAACTGTGTTCCACGTTTCCTCAGCTCCCCGGAGTCCTTCGTGGCCCTCCTCTCGCTCTCGGCCCATCTGGAGCACACATCTGGCTGGGACCACTGCCGAACCAACCAAGCACCCCCTCCCCCGGGGGCTTCCTCAGCAGGGGGGCGGCCCCTCACCAGGGCGAGCTTGGCAGGGTCTGCCAGCCAGGCTCACACTGCCGCAGCGGGGAAGCCCCTGCCCTGCCACCAGCCCCCAACTCCGCGGTCACTCGCCACCAGGCGCCACTGGGGCCCAGGCCCCTCACTTACCTTCGTGGGAGTGGGAGAACCAGATCTGGGAGGTGGCCGGGTGGGAGCCACGATAGGCCTGCTCAGAGGGGGAGGAGGTGGGGCCGCTCGGGTGCGTGGAGGCCGCGGAGCCCAGGCTGCTGGTGAGGAAGCTGCCCATGAAAGAAGAGGCCGGAGAGTTTCCCATCAGGCGGCTGCTGGCTGTGGACACAGGGGCAAGTGTGAGTCTGGGGGCAGCTCGGGGCAGGGCAGGGCTGCACGCCCACCAAGGAGCCCTTCTCCTCAGAGACGCTCAGGCCCCCAATCTCCCCAGGGAGAGACTAACATCCAAGAAGCCAATAGCAGGAAAAGCTGCCCACACAGGCCCCAGACAGTCACACTCTGGGTCCTGGGTCTCTTATGCCTCAGATGCCCTGGAACTGACACTCTCTTGTTACCGCAAAACCCAAGAATGACACGTCTGCCAGCACATCACCACTGCCAACCATCAACCACCATCACCAACCACCGTTCACCATCAACAACCAACCACCACTCACCATCGACAACCCCTATCACCACCACTACCAACCACCACCCACCATCACCAACCACCACTCACCATCGACAACCACCATCACCACCACCATCAACCAACCACCACCATCACCAACCACCACCCACCATCACCAACCACCACTCACCATCGACAACCACCATCACCACCACTACCAACCACCACCCACCACTACCAACCACCATCCACCACCACCCAGCACCACCCAGCACCACTAACCAACTACCATCACCACCAACAGCCACCGCCCACCACCATCTCCACCACCACCAGCCAGGTGCAAATCAACACTGAGGGCTTGTGGGGAATGCACTGGTGTGTGGGTGGGCCTTCTTGGAGACAGCACGCTGACTCACCCAGGCCACCTTGGTGGGCAGCTCCAAGGCCTCTCTGATAGGGGACACCTGTCAGAGGGCTCACCCACAGCTTGCTGAGAGGGCCCAGTGGGTTCTGTCCCCCACCCATGGCAGCACTAGGAAGAGGTGGTCTTCCTCCAGAGGGGGGTCTTCATCCTTCTCCCCTGGTCCAACAAGCTGACTTGTCAGATTGGAGTGCCCCCAGGTGAGCGAGGAGAGAAACTGAGGCAGAGGGAAAGAGGGAGGACGGGCCCGAGGACAGATCTGCTTTTAAGACCCCCTCAAGGTTCCTTGGGGTCTCTTGAGCTGCACTCAGGAGACAGCAGCTGGAGGCTCCGGGGCCTGATGGCCACCCGGGCCCTGATCCACACCCCGCCCAGCCCACCCGCTACCCACATCCTCCCTCGTGGCCGCAGGGGACTGTGCCCCTCTTTTCCCAAGTCCAGCAGCCAAGGCCAGGCCAAGCGAGCCTCCTGGGGTTGCCATGGCTACTGGCTCTTGCACACAAGGGACACAGCGTACCCAGAGTGCTCTGCACATGGCAGCCCTGCCACTCAGTGGGTGGTCTAGGCTGCACTGCCTAGCCCCCGCCCCATAGGGCACCCTGCCCCCTTCGTGGGCTGTGAGCCTGGCTGGGACCACCCCAGGGGAACCACTGCCCCAGGCTGAGTCGGGGTGAGAGGCTGAGTGCGGGGTAGGGAGGTTTGTAGGGGTCCAGCCCAAGGTGAGTCAGGAGCCAGGGAGGCAGGGGGAATTTGTGAATGTGATGCCTCATGCAGCCTGGCTTGGCCCTGGGAGCTTCCCAGACATGAGGTGACTCAGCAGAGAGGCAGCAAGGCCCAGGGAGGGGGCTGCCCCAGCAGGGCCCTGGCAGCGTCCCGCTGTGCGGCGCCAGTTCCCAGCCCAGGGCCTGGGGAAGGCTGCTCCCTTCCCCGCCAGTGCATGAGTGGGAGACAGCGCTGCACCCTCAGGCTGCAGGGAAAGTCGGGTGGCCGGGGGCAGGGGGTGCAGGTGCCCGGGAGCCAGGGGCTTCCCAGACCTCAGGGGTGGGACAGCCATGGGCCTGGGCCAGACCACAGGCAGGGCAGCCCAGGGAGAGGACTCTAGGCTGGGAAGGGAAGCTTGGCCTCCCTGCCGGCTCCAGGGACCCCAGGGCATGCCTGTGGGGTGAGTGTGGCCACCCCCTTGGACTTGGAAGCTTTCCGCTGCCCCGCCCAGGCCCGCCCCAAGTCCCCCAGGCCCTGCCACCCCCGCAGGGAAGTGCCTCCGCCCCTTCCTCCCAGGGAGGTAGGAAGCAACTGTGTCCAAAAGTTGGTCTGGAGGAAGGATTCCTGCGGGATCCCGGCCTGAGAACCCACACCTCGGGCTCTCCCACACCACGGGCGGGGGGAAGGGGACGCAGCTCGATGCCACATGGGGCCCTCTAGCCCTCGGAAACCGGCCTGTCTCTCAGTTCGGGGTCCCTCTTGGGGTACCTCCTTATAGCTGTTTCTCTGAGCCCAAAGCCTGGGAAACAGGGAATAGGGTGGGGCCTGCAGCCAGCCTCTCCCCACCCTCGACCGCCTGGGGGCAGCTAGAGGCCTCCAGCGTCCCAGCTGTGCCTGCGGTGGGGCTACCCTCGTCTTTGCCCCTTTATTCAGAAAACAGGGAGGCTGGGTCGCTGTGTCCTTTGCATACAAATATCAGGTCTTGATGTTTTCACTGCCGTAAGTTCAAGTGGTGAAACACAAGGAAGGAAATCGAAGTTATATGCCAGACCCGCCCCCACACCGACATCGTCACCACAAGTGTCTTGGGGACCTCCTGACTGCAGATGCACACACCCTTCTCCAGTGTGGCATGGAGTCGCACGCCGCACCCCAATTCCAGGGAACGGGCGTCCCTGGTACTGAGCCCACCATGAGAGACCCTGATGTCCCCGCATGGGGATGGAGGTGGCTTCTCCCTCCTAGAAACTCTGGGTATGGTGGCAGCCGCCACCAAGCATCGCACTCGGGGGCCAGCAGGCCAGCACCTTCGGGACGGCACTGAGCAGACACGAGACCCTGCCCGCACCCCTGCCATGGGCCCTGCATGTGACTGGGCCACTGTCCCCACTCTCTGGGGGTGAATTTCTCCCCCACTATTCTGGGCTTGGCTAGAAAGCTGGAAGCAGATCCTGCAGGCCCTGCTGGGTGGGCACTGCCTGGTGGGCATGGGGAGGAGACTGCTGGCACTGTAGGGCCTCCCCCGCCCTACCCGGCTCCTAAGCACCAGGACAGAGCACCGCGCTCCGTCACCTCTGCCTCCAAGGAGTCTGACGATGGCACTGTGCCCGGCCAGCAGAGCCGTGGGCAGACCTGGCTGCCACCTCCCCAGCCCCTGCCCGCCAGCCAGCGGCCAGCCCCAGACAGAGCCAGCGCATCCACTGCCTGGGAGCTGAGTGCAGCCTGGGCCCCGGCCAGGGCCCGACCGCGTGGCCAAGGCCAGCCGGGAACTGGGCTGAAGGCCCTCTCCTCTTGGCCGAGTCCCCGTCCACCGAGTGTGGTGGTTACACCAGCCCAGGAGGACAGCACGGGGGGCTTTGACCTGGGCCCCCTTGGCTGGCGCCCCCATCCTGGCACTGACTGCACCGCACCTCCCCCGCGCGGGGCTTCACTTAGTGCCGCCACGCTCCCAGGCCACGGGCTGGCCACGAAACTGACAAGGGACTGGGGCATGACTGACCCTAAATCACTAGTCCAGGACCCATGGCCCCAAATGCCTGGGTGGGGCTTGAGCAGCTTGTCCCTGCCAAGGGTGTCCCCATCTGCATGGCGGGCATGGAGGAGGCCTGACCCTGCCACGGAGCCAGTCCAGGACCGCTCCTGTCAGCTCTCGCACGGGGACAGCGCACACATTGGGGTTTTCCTGGGAAAGGGACCGAGAAGCTGTGTGAGGTGTCAGGGGGCCTCTGAGGTGGGCTGCTGTGTACTGCGCACTGGCCCCCAGCCAGCTTCCCCGCTGCCCGGCCAGCCCAGGCCAGGGTTTGCTGCTCTGGACACGGGGCAGGCTCCGGCCCTAGCTGCAGGGCCACCTCAGCTCTGCCCAGGACACCATGGGGGCCTGGCTCAGGCGCCCGCCTGGCTGGGAAGACCATTCTGGAAGACAGCGCGCCAGGAGGGCTATTGCCACCCCCAGGAGCAGACCCACACCAGGAGGCCAGACTGACCCCATGCCCCAAGGCCCGGCCAGCCTGTACCCTGCTACTCCAGGGCTGCCCTGCAACTGGAGGGCTGGGGACCAGCCGGACAGACTGGGCTGGGACCCCGACACCCGAGAGTCCCTGTGATCACTGAGCCCAGGTCCGGCCCTAGGACCGCTGTGGGGAGGCCACGCAGGGAGGTCAGCCTTCCTCCCACCAACTGCTGGCCAGGCCTCCTGGCCAGGCGGCCCCAAGGGCTGCTGAGACCAGGAGCCCCGGGCTACTGGGGAAGCCTCCAGTCTGGAGCACCTGAGAACCGTCCCTTCCCCATGGTCTGACCAGCAGCCATGCCAGTGGCCCCCGCCAAGTGTCCCCTGAGGACCCAGCGCACCAGAGGCCGGGCCTGGGGGACTGGACGGCCAGGTGCGCACTGTGCCCACCCACCGTGGCTCTCCTGCCAGGCCACTCCGCACTGTGACACCAGGCCGAGGGCAGAGGCAGTGGGAGGATGGAAGGACCTGCGAGAGCTGGGAGGAGGAGTGGGAGCACGGAGCTGCGGCAAACGAGCATTTGTTTTCAGTTAAGTGAGCCGCTGAGACAGCATCCTCCTTTTCTGGAAACTGTGAAATGGGTTGTAAAAAAAAAAAAAAGGGCCTCACTGAGATGGCGGCAGCTCCTGAGAAGCAGCAAGTCCCTTCCCAGGCTCCCAGGCTCCCGCTGCTTCCGGAAACCCAGCTGACAGGCTGCTGGCACGGGCCTCCCCGCTCCGAGTCTGGCGGCTGCACCCGCCGCCCGTGCCAGCTCCCACCCTCCCGCTCACACCCGCTCAGACTCCCCTCTTCCCTCAGCACAGCTTCCTGACCTGCGCCTCCCCGGCGCACAGGGCCTGCCCCGGCAGGGGACACCGGCTGTCCCTTGGTCTCCCCCAGGACCCCAGGATGGCTGAGACCAGAGAGATGGGCCATGCAAAGCAGCCCTTCTGCCAGGCCGGCCCCGAGGGGCGGGGATGGGGGGGCAGGAAGGATAAACAGCCCCCCAGGCTGCGGCCACATTCCTCTCATTCCAGGAAAGGGGAGGGAGGGGACGTCCATGCCGGGCTTCCTGATGGACGCTCAGGGGAAGGCGT